CCCCGCTTGTCACAACTAGAGAAAGCCCTCGCACAGAAACGAAGACCCAACACAGCAAAAATAAATAAATTAATAAACCCCTATCCCCAACATCTTCTTTGAAAAAAAAAAAGAAAAGATACAATCACCAAAACGTGTGGCACTGGCACAAAAACAGAAATATAGATCAATGGAACAGGATAGGAAGCCCAGAAATAAACCCATGCACCTATGGTAAATTAATCTATGACAAAGGAAGGAAGACTACACAATGGGGAAAAGACAGTCTCTTCAATAAGCGGTGCTGGAGAAAATGGACAGATACGTGTTAAAAAAAAAAATGAAATTAGAACATTCTCTAACACTATATGCAAAAATAAACTCAAAATGGATTAAAGACCTAAATGTAAGTTCGGATACTATAAAACTCTTAGAGGAAAACATGGGCAGAATACTCTTTGACATTAATCACAGCAATATCTTTTTGATCCATATCCTAGGGTAATGGAAATAAAAGCAAAAATAAACAAATGGGACATAATTAAACTTAAAAGCTTTTGCACAGCAAAGCAAACCATAAACAAAACCAAAGACAACCCACAGAACGGAGAAAATATTTGCAAATGATGTGACTGACAAGAGATTAATCTCCAAAATTTACAAACAGCTCATGAAGCACAATATTTAAAAAGCAAACAACTGAATCAAAAAATGTGCAAAAAATCTGAATAGACGTTTCTCCAAAGAAGACATACAGATGGCCAAGAGGTGCATGAAAAGATGCTCAACATCACTAATTATTTGAGAAATGCAAATCAAAACTACAATGAGATATTACCTCATACCAGTCAGAATGGCCATCATCAAAAAGTCTACAAACAATAAATGCTGGAGAGGGTGTGGAGAAAAGGGAACCCTCCTACACTGCTGGTGGGAATGTACATTGGTACAGCCACTGTGGAGAACAGTATGGAGGTTCCTTAAGAACTTAAAAATAGAGTTGCCCTATGATCCAGCAATCCCACCCTCGGGCATATATCCAGAGAAAAACATGGTTTGAAAGGATAGCTGCACCCTAGTGTTCACTGCAGCACTGTTCACAATAGCCAAGACATGGAAGCATCCTAAATGTCCATCAAAAGATGAATGGATAAAGAAGATGTCATACATATATACAGTGGAATATTACTCAGCCATTAAAAAAGAATGAAATAACGCCATTTGCAGCAACATGGATGGACCTGGAGATTATCATACTAAGTGAAGTAAGTCAGACAGAGAAAGAAAACTATCACATGATATCGCTTATATGTGGAATCTTTAAAAAAAAAGGATACAAATGTACTTATTTACAAAACAGAAAGACTCACAGACTTAGACAATGAACTTATGGTTACCAGGGGGGCAAAGTGGGGGGGAAGGATAGATTGGGAGTTTGGGATTGATATGTACACACTGCTATATTTAAAATAGATAACCAACAAGGACCTACTGTATAGCACAGGGAATGCTGATCGATATTCTGTAACAACCTAAATGGGAAAAGAATTTGAAAAAGAATATACACATGTATACGTATAACTGAATCACTTTGCTGTACACCTGAAACTAACACAACATTGTTAATCATCTATACTCCAATATAAAATTAATTTTTTTAATTTTTAGAAAATTGTGAATCACTGTGTTGTACACCTGTAACTTATATAATATTGTATATTAGCTATACTTCAATAACATTTTTTTAAAGTTAGGAAACCCTACAGAAGAAAAAAAAATTAAGTTGAATTATTACTTCCTCTTGAAGTAATTCCCAATTTCCTAAGGCAGAATCTGTTGCTCAATTATCTAGGCTCTCATAGCCCTTCACCAACTCTTTTATATAGCACGTCTTACAATACTTTGTGATTTTTTTTTTCCAACCTCTCTCTGAACTGTAATCTCATCAAGGGGAGGGACCATAGTTCAGAAATCGTTATCAACCCATATTTAGTACTTGGGTTAAAACATAAAACAAACTCAATAAATGTTAAACGAATGAATTACTGAATGAATGGAAAAAGGAATGTGTTTATATATGCATCAAGTTCAAGTTCCTAAGTATACAGCAGGTAAGGGGCTAAATTACATATGAGATATTCTCAACTCAGTTCTCTATATTACCTCTCTCTCTCAATGTCCATTCATGCTACTATTTCTACTTTGGGATTTGGTTTACTACTAGATATTGATTATTTCTGTCTCGACGTCAACCAGATACCGCAAGCTGAATATACCCAGCATCAAATTTCTTGTCTTCCCCATCTTCTAAACCTGCTCCTCCTTCTGAGTTCCTTAGTTAAGTCAATGACATCAGTAACCCAAGTCATAGTCCCGGTTTTATCTTTGACTTCTCTTTCTCCCATCACCTTCATTTAATCAGTTGCCAAGTTGTATTGTTTCTATTTCTGAATTAGCTTTTAAATAGTCATTCAATCAATCATCCACTCAGCCAATATCTATTATGTTCCTATTATGTGCTATGAATATTATCATGGTTATTGTGATATGTATAAAACCAATTAGTGTCTTTCTCAAAAAGCTTATAGTCTAATAGAGAGATAAGCAAATCAGCAGTTATATGAAGATAAGTGCTTGATAGATTTTTTTTAGAAATACAGAGAAGAGACATCTCAATTAGATTTGAGAGGAACAGGAAAAGCTTCCTGGACAATGTGGCATGGGATGTGTAGGTGTTAGCTAGATAAGTAGGGCACAGATCCAGATTAAAAAACAGCATGCAGGAAGCTGTGAGATTTGAACAAGTATGGCATGGTTTGGTACTCTAAATAGTCTACCTGGAGTAACGCTTTTGAAAGAGCAATGGGAGATGTGACTAGATGACAACAGAGTTAGAGAGGGAGATTAGGTCATAAAGAACCTTGTGTAAAAAGTAAAGAATTATAATCCTTAACCTGGAAGCTATGGAGATACTGAAGAATTTAAGTACAAGAATGACATGATGAAATCTATACTTTACAAACATTATTACATCAGTAGTTTGGATGTAGATTTGAAGAAATGCCAGAATGGTGGCAAGAACAATTAGAGGGCTATTACACTAATCCTGGTGAAGAGTAAATAGGGCCTAAACTAAAACATTGGCAGTGAAAATGGTTTCAAGGGCAAAGATAGGAAATTTTGAGTCAAAGGAGAGATCAGGATAAAGGTGATAATTGATGGCATGAGGTCATTCAGGGGTGAGGAGAGGGTTTGATACAAAACATATGTGAAATTTGAATACTGGGGAGGGGGAGGAATAATTTTTCTGTGGAGACAGAAAGGGAGGGGGAAATACGGCTGAATATGTACAGGGAGAGTTGTTAGGTGGCCAGTAGTGTTTTCAAATAACACACAGGATGCCCAGTTAGATTTGAATTTCACATAAAGAATGAACAACTTTTAGTACAAATGTGTTCCAAATACTGCACCTTCATCCTCTCACAGGTTTCCTTTTCCTGAATGCCATATATCTTACTTGTCTGTCTACAAATTCTGACTCATTCATCATGTCAGCTCAAGTGCTACCTTCTCTACAAAGTGTAATCCAAGTCCCCTAACCATATACTCACACAGTATCACATATTATATGTTATTCACATGGTTATTATAAAGGATTTCCTGCATATATTTCTCTAGATTGTAAGTTTCTTGAAAGTAGGAAGCAGGACTTTTCATCTTTGTAGCCCTAGGGTCTAGCACAGTGGCTGTCACATAAGAGGCAGCCAGTAAATATTTGTTGATTAAATGAATGTTCTATTTCACTTCAGATCTTTATAACTTCTTTTCTAGCTTTTTCTAGCTCATCTCTTTGTCTTGTTAAACCATCCTCCATGCTGACATAAGAGGTATCTTTTTTAAAACATAAATCACCTAGATTACTTTACTATTTAAAAATCTTTGATTACTCCATGATGCCCATGGTAGAAGTAGGAACTCTTCAACATGGTCTTAAACCTTCCCCACAATTTAATCCCCAAACTAAGTGGTTAAGAGCTCAGACTTTGAAATCATGTCTGGGTGAGAATCCTAAGTCACCTGTTAGTTATGTGACTGAGGGAATAACTTCACTATCTATAAAATGGGGATAAAATCCACCTCATAAAGATGTTGTGAAGATTAAATGAGGTATCTGTAAAACATTTACTACAGTACCGTAGTACTTGACACTATAGTACACTAACAAATATAGCTATATTAATATCCTTTCCAGCTTCATCCCCTAACACTTCCTCTCTACTCACACTAACAACCTTCCACAGCAGCTATACTTCATAACCTGCCAGTTCTCCAAACTTCAGGCTATTTCATTGTCCTATGTCTATTCACAATACTTTGTTTACGATGCTCATTCTATGTCAGCCTGCTTGGCAAAGCTTGGTATTTAAAGGTTTTCTATGGATAATTTCTGGTATACATACACAACAACAGTAAAGGAAGTTAGAAATGATTAGGTTTCTGCAGGTAGTTTGTACTATGTATAAATTCCAGAACACCATAGGCTTTCTTTTATTTTAATCAGTGGATATTTAATAGGCCCTAAAGGGTTTTAGTGGTCAGAAAACTCTCATCTATTCAGTGTAGGCTATAGGTTTTTGGGTTTTTAAATTTTTTTCACCTCTTATAAGAAATCGTTTTTTTCAGTTATTTACGTGCTTTGCAAATATCGTCACCCTAATCTAAGTCTAGACCAAACCAGGAAAATCATTTTCAATGACCTGAACCCAAGAGGCTGTATAAACATACTCCTACTAAACAAATGATACCAAAAGAACAACCAGACACGCAAACTACTTCCTGATTATCTCAAAACAAGCTGTACAAGGTTTTTTAAATGCACCGAGTCAGCTCAAAAATATCCAGAAATGTTCTGATATTTCTAAAATATTTTTTTACCCATTCATTGAGAGTTGACATTAGAAAACTACAGATACCATACTTTTTTCTTCTTCTGTTTTTCTTTTTCTTTTTTTTTTCCTTACCTTTGATCCTTCAGGGCCATTTTGTCCAGGAATCCCAATATCTCCAGGAAAACCCTAGGGAACATAAAAATATAGAGAGTTTATTCCATAGCAAATTACTTTAAATCTATTAAGCATATAGAAATTCCCTTTGCCTTTCTTTGATGTCCAATAAAAATGATTTATTCTCCTCAAAACTTCAATATTAAAGATTAATCGTTAGGCAGTTGTCTGACATTGGAATACAAAACTTACTAAGTATACTAAAACAGAGCTTACTTCATCAGTTATTCATGAACAATCCTCAGACCCAAAGAAAATTCTCTAATCATTCACAACTTGAAAAAAAGGCAAAAAAAAAAAAAGTAACAGGTCTTTTCAGTGTCATATGGGACACAGAGCCACCCAAGGATTAGGGAAATGTACTTTGTTAGACTCACTGTTTACTAACTATATGCTAATTCTTCTGTTTGGTGAAAAAAACAATAACCCCAAAGGTTATATAGCTTAACATACAGGATACTAATCAGTTTTGTATCGAACTCAACTATCTTATTCTAACATTCCCATATTCAATTGTCTGTAAATAGCTCAATGTTCTTTGAATTTGTATTAACATCTTACTGGTTCCATCATTAATTAACAAATTGAATAAAATCTTTGACCCATGTTTACTTCATATTTGCCTGAAAATCATAATTTTACCTTTTCAGAAATTATACTTTAGCAGTCTAAAACAGTTTTCTCAAGAAATAGAAATGGACCAAAGTGTCAGAAAAATCTGTGCTGAGAAAAGGCCAACAGTGTTGCTCCAAAATGGTTAGGTAGATATTCTTACTGAAATAATACATTAGAATGAACTTCATCATGATCAGTTTCAATATTGATAATAAGCTAATAATTATAGTTTTCCTTGTATTTTGTCACAGATAAGCTGTTTCAGTGTTTCCTTCTGACATGGACAAAGGAATAAAAAGTAGGATAAGTACAAGAATCATATCTTTAAAAGTAAAGAAGGCTGCAATTAAGTATGAATGTCAGCTAGAAAAGACAGTTCATTGGAGGGGTAAATATTATGGTAATTAAAATGCCAACAAGTAAGATGGAATAGCAAGGTTGATTCTGGAAAACTCATCTTGGAAAAAAAGAAAAAATCAACAGTAAGTGATACCAACTTATCCAGTCTGGATTAGGACAGAAATGACTCCAATTTAAAACTTGGATTCTGTGGAGAAAAATATTACTTGTGGTCGTTTCTGGCAAGAGAAAAGGCAGTGGTAACAGAAAGACTGGACACAGGATCAGATTTCTGGAAGTTTTGGAACAGAATATGTTTAATACAGACATGCTGATGGCTTTTCTAACTAAAGGAAATCAGGTTCATCTATACTTTCTCTGCCTTGAGTAATTTTCCCTTATCTTTCTTTACCTGGAACACTTAAGTTTTAAATAGGAGATTAAATAATATATCACCTGCAAATCTTTCTTTGACCTCCAATACCCTGAGTTAGGACCCTTCTAAGACTCACACCATCGTAGGGTCCTACAAGTTTACTTGATAGTGTTTTGGCTTGTATTGTTTTCCTCATCAGATTGTAAATTCCCTGAGGGCAGCTTTATCTCTTATTAACCACCATATTCCCAGAAACTAGTACAACACCTGGCACATAGTAAATGCTAAAAAAATTGATTTTTTTTGCTCTTGAATAATGATTTGTTTCTTTTGACAATAAAAAGGGACTACATGGCTGGTGGCTACTTTTGGCCCCTCAATACCAGTTTACAACCACTGGTTCACAGCATGCTCATAGATAAATTCATAATTCCTGTCCATTCTCCAGCTGAGCCTGGAACACCTTGTCATACTAGAAACCAAGCTGTAAAAGGTATCAAACCTGGAGTCACGTTAAAAGAACTCTGCGAGCTTGAAGAGGATCTCACCAGCCAGAAATGGGACAATATGAACTTCAGTAAGGAAAAAAATTGCAATGGATTGCAACAGGTCAAATATGATTCAATTCAGAAGTTCAAAATGATACAAAAAAAAATTATTCACATTTAGCAGATGAAAGAAAGCCAACTCATTATTTCCAAAACTGGTAAACAAAGGTGAAGAATCAAGCATTTATTCCACCTTTTCTATACATACAATAACACAACTAACCAAATAGTAGATTAGGGGATGTATTCCAGCCAATAAATGAAAAAGAAGTGAAAGAACAAGAATATCTCCATTTTGCAATCCCCTAAATGATCTAATGTATGTAGGGAGTTGAGGAATCACAACTGTTAACTAACATCACAGAATGATGATAGATATTTTGTGCTTCCTAATGAAAGAACACAATATCACCCATAGTCTTGCCAAAAACAAACAAGCAAAACTGACCTTGGCTAGGCCTCTATATGTGGCTACCAATTTGCAGGAAATACAGAGGGAGAAACATGCTTAACTACACCATGAGACTATAATCAGCAAAATCCAGGCTGTGGGAATCTCTACAGGTTAAATGGCTCGGGATCTTCAACAATTAAATTATAAAGTGGGGAAAAGGCAATGGAAGGAGAACTTGTAGACTGAAAGACACAAGAGTAAAACAAACAAGACTAAACTACAGTTTTAAAAGATGTACACCCGAGTGATAAACCATAAAAGAAAAAAGAGGAACTGCTTACTTACTGCAGGAGAGATAGGCTTGTGGCTGGGTTGGGATCCATAAAAGTTTCTGGGGATAACTGGCAGTTCTATTCCTGACCTGTGTGGTAGTTATAAGAGTGTTTGTCTTATAACTGTTTGTGATATACATTTGTTTTATAGTTTTTAGTGTCTGTGCTTTACTTTCAATAAACAGTAAGAAAAACGTTATGAGGTGGCTTCTGGATAAATATGAACTATTGAGTATATATGCATGAATATCTGCTCCTTCTTAATCATTAAAATTATAGTAAAGGAATATTTAAAAGACAAAAAGTACCAAAGACCAGGGGATAAGAGACAAAAGATGTCAGCAAACCTGTTCTTATATTATAGCCATGTAAGTTGAATATTTTAAAATTAAAACTTCATTTAAAAGTTCAGAAGCACATCAGTATAGTTATTAAAAGGAGGAAAAAAATCTCCTCAAATAAGATACCTTTGAAACTTGGCCAAAGAATATATTTTTTTAAATAAACTGTTTTTTTAAAATTGGGGTATAGTTGCTTTACAATGTTGTGTTAGTTTCTGCTTCACAACGAAGTGCATCAGCTACATGTATACATATATCCCCTCCCTCTTGGACCTCCCTCCCAACCCCCACCCACAATCCCACCCCTCGAGGTCACCACAGAGCACCAAGCTGAGCTCCCTGCGTTATACAGCAGGTTCCCACTAGCTATCCGTTTTACACATGGCAGTGGACCTAGAGTCTGTCATAAAATGTGAAGTAAGTCAGAAAAACAAATATCGTATATTAACACAGATATGTGGAATTTAGAAAAATGGTACAGATGAACCTATTTGCAGGGCAGGAATAGAGACCCAGATGTAGAGAACGGACGTGTGGACACAGTGTGGGGTGGGATGAATTGGGAGACTGGGATTGATGTATGTGCACTGCCATGCATAAAACAGAGAGCTAATGGGAATATTTTTATTATTTAAAAAATTCCAGGGCTTCCCTGGTGGCGCAGTGGTTGAGAATCTGCCTGATAATGCAGGGGACACGGGTTCGAGCCCTGGTCTGGGAAGATCCCACATGACGCGGAGCAACTAGGCCTGTGAGCCACAACTACTGAGCCTGCGCGTCTGGAGCCTGTGCTCTGCAACAAGAGAGGCCATGAGAGTGAGAGGCCCTCGCACCACGATGAAGAGTGGCCCGCGCTTGCCACAACTAGAGAAAGCCCTCGCACAGAAATGAAGACCCAACACAGCCATAAATTAATAAATAAATAAATAAATAAGAAAGCCAAGCATTTGAAGCCCTTAAAAAAAAATTCCGTACCTGGTTTACCACCAAGTAAAGATCTTACCTTTTAAATAATAAATTTAAAATATAAAAATCAGAGTTAACTGGGTCAACTGAATTTTAATGATAACCTATGTCTACAAAATAAAGTTTTTTTTAACTAATTCATTGTTGAAAATGTAAATCAAATGACAGGACGTGGCCATCCTTGCCAAGTAGCAAAATTTCAGAGAGCTCAGAGATTGAAAGATTTAAAAATACACCATTCAGAGTCTATAACTTTCATTAGAAAACTACATTGGCATGAAACTATGCAGAAAAAAATTAAAAACAAAAATCTGATAAAATGCTTTATTTTTTTTCATCTAAAATACTTTAGTAAACACTGAAAAGTCAAAATGGTTTCTCCCACAATGTGCTTCACTATCTAAGTTGTCACATCACAATTGAAAATATAACACCTTAGTGAGGAAAAGGATGAGCAGTCTGACTTGCGGTGCTTGTTTTAAAAATTGAGATATAATTGACATAAAGCATATTAGTTTCAGGTGTAAAACACCTGTATATAAATATAGAGAGAAAGAAATGATCACCACAGTAAATCTAGTTAACATCCATCACCATGCTTAGTTGTAATTTTGTGTGTGTGTGATGATAACTTTTAAGATCTGCTCTTAGAAACTTTCAAATGTACAATACAGTGTTATTAACTATGTTACCATACTGTGCATTACCTCCCCATGAATTATTTGTAACTGGAAGTCTGCACCCTTTTACCCACTTCACCCACCTTCCCCACCTGACCCCTGCCTCCTGCAACCACCAATCTGTTCTCTGTATCTATGAGGATTTTTTGTGTTTGTTTTAGTTTAGATTCTACATTAAAGTGAGATCATGTAGCATTTGTCTTTCTCTGTATGACTTATTTCACTTAGCATAATGGCTTCATGGTGCATCCAGGTTATTACAAATAATTTAAGGCTGAATAATACTTAATCAGATTTTTTTTTGCTATTGAGTTATATGAGTTCTTTATATATTCTGTATATTAACCCCTTATCAGATATTTAATTTGCAAATATTTTCTCCCATTTGATAGTCTGATTTTTCACTTTGTTGATGGTTTCT